ATGAATTTAAGCGACTCCATTTTTCCGAGTAATGAATTTGCACATATTTCTTGACTCCGCATCTTTGCTCCTATCGGAATATATGGTACACACATTTTGTCAATCTTAAGTTTTATTATCCCTTTTAGTTTAAGTGGAACTCATTCGAAAATAAAAATAATCATTACATGACAACTAATCACTCGAAACTCCTGTTATTCTCCTCAGGTATTTTTATTTTACGCTTAAATATGGAAGTGTCTACGCGTATGTTAAGGATATCTCATCGTTAAATCATAGAAAATTTAACTCGTAAACTACGAAAAATCGTAGAACATACATGGGGGTTAAATTGATAGGTATGGTACACCTCTATCAGCTCGCACTGGCTTGACACCCGGAGCAAGGCGTTGAGCAGACGACGGGGCGGGGCGGGTATTTTGTCCGCGAAGCAATAAAGACCGCGTCTGCCCGTCGATGCCCGGGCAGAGGCGGTCAGTTCAGGACGTTCGTTCTAGTGAATAGTCCATCACTAATAAGCGCGTGGCGCGGACTGAGCTGACCGCCCCGCGCCGCCGTCTGCGTTACTGCATATAAACTGGTTTGTATGATTCACGGCGGGCAGCCGCGGACATGCCGCGCCGCCACTGCCCGCCGGGCACCTGCGGCGCGGTCTTTTTGCCCTGTGTGCGTTTGAAGTATAGGATTCACTTTGTGCTATTATTCGCGGCGAAATTGACCGGCCCGCCCCACCCCGTCGTCTGCTAAGTGCCTAAAAGAAACATCCTGTATGTGAATATTTGCTTACCTCGATGATATAATCGTATTCGCCGGCCTATAACGTAAGTACTTTAAAAAAAATGTTTGCTGGTACGGAACCCTTCGAGTGCGAATCCAATTCGTGCTTGGCCAGTTTTTTCGAATGGGTTTGCACTTTGCCACGGTAATATTATTACCGTGACTTTGCAGTTACAAGGCGCGAGTAAAACAAGGGGGTGGGGGCGCCGTATGAAACTCGCCCAGGGCGCTGGTAGTGCTGAAACCGGCACTGCTCGTCGCCCCACCACTAGTAGGACAAATTAGTAGAACCACGAGGAAACGGGTGAATTTCCCATATTTTTATTTTAAAATATCTATATTGAAGCCCGATTTGCAATATACATAAAATCCAAAGCATGCTATGTGCATGCGTGATGTGCTGGAAGATGGTAGAATACAAAACCTAATTTATCTATGGTATATTTATTGTCTGTACATCTTTTTGTCGTGTTTTTTCCTATATTTTAACAGTTATTCTGCTATTCGGGTGGAGACTAATCCAGCAAATCAAATCTCATAGAAACCGGTCCGCCATTCTTGGGTTAAACAAATGTTCTGATCTGACGGACACGACTTTGTTTTTTATATAAACGTATTATAATAATAGATGACACAGCAATCAAAAAGCATATAAACAACATATTATTGAATATTTCAAATTATGCAATGAAAGACGACTTCATGAATCATTATATTTTTTTAAGCATGTAACTGCTTGATGTTTAAATCTAAAGAAAATATAACTAGAAAAAAATCCACGCGGTCAAGGCAGCAGACGGGACTCGAACCCGCACCCTTCGCAATCCGGGCGAATGCACTGACCAATTATGCTACCGCGGCCCTGACGGCCGCGTCGAAATTCCTCTAGCCATTCTTAAGCTGCAAGGCAGCGCCATTTCTTCGCATAACCCACAATGTCAAATGAATACTTTTACAAGTATTAAACATTTGAAAGAAGAAATAACAATTAGTTATAATTTTATTTTTTTAAGCATGTAACTGCTTGATGTATAAATCTAAAGAAAATATAACTAGCAAAAATTCCACGCGGACTAGGCAGCAGACGGGACTCGAACCCGTACCATTCATAAATCATTTCATCTTGTAGTCATTTTCCAATTTGAAGACATAAAAACAATTAAGGGAGAAAAACAGCCCTTGCAGTTTCTTCTCAATACAAGATCTCCAGCCCTAGGTTCACAAATACACACATCAAAAGTGTCTAGGGATCAAGCATTTTTATGCGGATTTCTTGAGATTGAGATGTGGCTTTGTAATAAATTTATGTTTTTATAAATTTATATGGATCCTTTTTGGTGCATTTCATAATTTGAATCAGGAACTGTGAATCAAATTCGAGTAAAAGATGAAAATCAGCTGTCAATATTTTCCCTATAAAAACATACAACGCATTGAAGACATTATTAGTGCTACTGTTTCCCTACTACTGATTAAAACCAACGTTATTATGGAGCGGCGACGTCATTTAAGCAAGGAAGAAATGCTCAGAGCCGTGGGAATGATAGAAGCTGGTTCCCGGCAACGTACTGTGGCTTTAGCTCTGAATACAAGTCAGAGTGTTATCAGTCGACTTTGGACACGATACCGAAGCACTGGTACCGTGGCTGAGCGCCATGGAGGACGGTATCGCTGCACCACACGGAGACAAGACCGATACATTCAAATCTTAACTCGAAGAGCTCCAACAATAACCGCCATGATGTTAGCCGTGAGGCTTCATCACTCTTCAGGGAACTTAATTAGCGACCAAACAGTCAGAAACCGCTTGCATGAAGTGAACCTTCATTCCCGAAGACCGCTACGGGTACCACCTATAGCAATGCACAATCGTAGGATTCGATATCAATGGGCTCTTGAACACAGAAATTGGGCAAAAGAACAATGGCGTTTCGTGTGCTTTTCTGATGAGTCTCGTTTTGGTATGAGACCGGATACAAGACGTATACGACACTGGAGAACCCCTGGACGCCAACAGCGATTAAAATCCTGCCAGGAAGTCCATCCTTATAGTGGTGGAACCATCATGGTATGGGCGGGTATTTGGATCGGCGGAAGAACTGAGTTGATTTGGATCAGAGGCAACCTCAACGCTCTTTATGCTGAGACGATTGTATCAGACGTCATCGTTCCTCTACAAGTGCAAATCGGTCCCTTATTTCAGTTAATGCATGATAATGCACGACCGCACACCGCAAGAGTTGTAAGACAGACTCTCGCCGCAGCTAACATCAATGTCCTGCCCTGGCCTGCTCAGTCGCCAGACTTGAACCCGATTGAGCATGCATGGGATATGCTACAGAGAAGAGCTCTGCCGAATATGGAGGGTATCCAGTCGCAAGAAGACCTTTTTTTGTTGTTGCAACGAACATGGGCGGTCATTCCACAGCGTGATTTGGATGAACTCATTTTGAGTATGCCAAACCGATGTTCTTGTGTTGTTAGTGTTCGCGGTAGAAATACGGATTATTAATTGTTTAAGTTACCCAATAAAATTTTAGAGAAAACTGTTATTTCAGTCTTTTTTTCGAACTTTTGTGTTAGTGGTTCAAATGTCAAAAATCCCTTTATTAGGAAAATGGCAAATTTCTTTATTAATGCAAAGGTGACTTGGTTTATCGTTACTGTGACAAACGAAAACACTTAATTTGATGAATCCTTAAAGAAAATTTTAATTAATATCAATCAGGAGAAAAGTTATTGCAAAAATATATGTTGATCCCTAGACACTTTTGATGTGTGTAGATGGAGTATTGACATCCAAAGAGCTTGTAACAGCCTAATTTGAACAAGATTTAAATTCGGATTGAAAATGTAAGGACCCAATATTTACTAAAGCATAAAATAAAACACAATACTAAGAATCATTTATAAATATTCGTAAATATAGGTCGAATGTGGTACAATTAAAATCAGAGGAATATTTTATTAATTTCATATCAAAAAGGAAACATCTAAGCAGTATTTTCTACACTTTATCTTAGTAACTGTAATAACTATTGTATAGGAACTCGAGCTCATTAGGGATAGTGTGCTGTTGCAACATGTGCAATTTATTGAAACAAATGTTCAATCAAAAGCACCCAATCTCTAATAAATAGATCCAACATGAATCTGAAGTCTCTATTGAATAAACCGAATCAAACACGAATATAAATGCAACATAAATTGCTTGCTTCATTACTTTAATATAGTTGACTTATACTGAAAACTAATATTTTATTATAAGTGCGATACAGTGTAGAAAATGGAATTAAGTTTCGAAAAGATGCATAAAACCAGTAAAACATGAAATGTAGTTAAAAACTAACTCCAGATTTTTTAAAAGATTAATCGTATCTGAAGGTCTTGTTTTATCGGTTTTAGGCTAAGGTTGTTTAAGTAGATGCTTCATTAAAGCATACAGATGATATCCTTTACAAACTAATTAATAAGAAATAACCATTTTAATACTTTAAGATATAAATAATAACACATTTTAAACAATTTAACTTGCTTTCTTTGACTTAAAATCTCTTAAACCTAATTGACTACACTAATAGTATAACCAAGTCCGTTATATTACATTGTTAAATTATCCTATACTGACATAATGTAAAAGGCGGTAGGCAGACAACTTCTTACATCTATGGACTCAGGAACAGAGTGCAAAATAACGAGTTTCAGTGAATACAAATTTAAAGCTTTATATTGGACAATCAGCTATTTACACTTTGTAGGAAATACGGCGGGTGGTTTGTTTTAGTTATTCTACATGCAATTTTTTTTTGTCTGTGATGTAAAGATATGACGATGTAATAGTTAAAATAAGGAAGATCAAGATATCCACGAGTTTTCTTAGCCTTGCTTACAATCACAATAAAACAGCCCAAAGAAGCAAAAGGTTTCAAAACTAAAGAAAAATACATTACGAAACAATTATATAAATTACAATAAAATTTTTAAGATGCAACTGTTGGTTTTGTCATCAGTCTGGATTGTTTATTTTTAACTATCAACCTAAAAATCGAATTAAAATAAGGAATGTTATAAGAATATTGGAGAATTGTTCTTTACAATATCCGTATCTTGAATATAAGTGATGTGATGCGATAAACCAAACAGCTTTTTTTGCGCGACGCATTACGTGCCTTCATGCCTGTAGCACACCTACCCGCTGCGAAACCGCTGCAAGGGCGGATCCAGGGGGGGGGGGGGGGGGTCGTGGGGGTCATGACCCCCCCTGGGCTGGGTACAGATGGACCAAACCCAGGAGGATTTTATTTAAGTACTTTCAATATTTAATATACCACGACTATATGACCCCCCCCCCCCCTTGCGCCAAAGCTGGATATATGACCCCCCCCTGGCGCCAAAGCTGGATCCGCCCTTGAACCGCTGCTCGAGTTTCGCCGAGTAACAGCACTTCACTTACGAAAGTATATTAGCGAAAACTAAAAGAACAGTTGAGAAATACCAACCGAAATAAAATGTCGCTTTCGGAGTCAGAGGAATAAATAATCTTGCTGTGGTCAAAAACTTAAAAAGGCGTAGTGTCTGGATGCATGATTTCAATAAAAAATAAAGAAGTTGTGAGAAAATCGATTATGCAAAGAGCTACAGTTATTACTACTGGTCTATTTCTCACTGCTTATTTATGGTTTAAGGTAAATTTCTCCTATCTTGCTCTTTTCGATTGCTACAGACGCATCCAAATCACACGCGGACCTGCTAAATGAGCGAAATTATTTTAGAAAGAGACAGCATCATAGTCAGTTTCGTACGTCAGAGCAGGTAATTTCGCTCCTTTCGAAGCCAAAGAACTTAAAACTCACAGCGAAACCGTTGTGGTTTCGACCTTCGAGTTTCGCAGCGGTAGTGTGCTACAGGCATCATCGTCCTTTAGAATTTCTTTTCACTGTTGACACCACGCACATCAAATACAATCTAAAATACGCTGCGAGTCGAGTAGGCGACAGACCGATCTCCTTGCATAGTTTGTTTTTATTATGTATTTCTTTTTGCGCGTTCGATTTTAAAATATAGACGCGACGCGCCTATCGCGGCTTCTGCAAATAATATTGGTTTCTTTTTTGCATTAAATTTTCGAAGCAGTTTGTAACTATAATTTTTATTAAATTCAGTGATACTAAGTGCGTTTTCCTATTTCGCCGTAAACAATCAGTGGTCCTTCGAGCCGGATTACGGGAAACCTATGTTTATCAAGTGGTTCGACAGTCAGATATTCAGTAACGGCTTTAACAATATTATTATTTCAGGTCCATCTTATTATACATCTCTTCATATCCCTATTCTATCCATAGGAAAGGCCTGTGACAATTTATGTTCTGGCTGATGATATCTTTTCAGATAGAGTTGTAAAGATAAGGCACTTTACCAATTGCGTGTAAAGTCAATGTTATTAATTTAACTTTAACTGTATGTTGGAATTATATAATGTTTAATAGGTGATATTGAATTTAAAACTTTAAATTTGTAATTATTTGATTGTGATGGACAAATGCAAAATAAATAGTACAATGCTTGCATCCCACCATGACACACCTAATTCTAACACGACAAAACTAAGCGCCCCAGAAAGATTCTATTTTTCCTTTTACTTGAAATACAAAAAATGTTTTTTGAAATATATGTAGTGCAACTACAATTTTTTAGGTATATCTGTAGAATCTTTGTGAGACTATCAGAACATGTCAACACTTAATATAACTACATATATATCGTCATACATACACATAAATAATTACATTAATGTAACACACGCACACACACTTAGACTACCTACCAATAATGGTGGCTCACCTAGCATAACTTAGTAATGAATAAATGATCAGTCTTAAAAATGTATGTTCGCGCTTAGCGACACTGTCTCTGTATATAATATATGGCTTGATTCACTCTGTTGCTGAGTCAACTTAACACAATTATATTTCAAACTTATGAGAGACGACAATATTAACAAAAGCATGGCTGGTAAAAGTATTAACAAAAAAACACCACATTAGAGCGAACAATAATTAAATCACTGTTAAGATTTTCATTACCTAATTTATGGATCAATGACAAATCCATATCTAAAATTTCTAAATAGTGAAAAATTCACTACCGCGAAATCTCAGGGTTTGATGATTACATCATCAATTAGACTTAACATTTTCTCTATGCCTCAATTTCAACATACCATTTGAAATACTTTTATATGCAGTTATACACGGCGAGTAAGTATGAACTATTTAACTGTTCATGATTCCTAATTATTATTAAGAGGTTTTATGAAAATGCTTACATCTTAAGCAATACATAATTAATTATACTATTCAGTTTTAATTTAATAACTCATTAAGTAATTAACTATAGTCACATACATCCATAAATATGGAATGCTCTAAATCCTGATTTCTATTAATAATGAGTAATATCAATTTGCCAATAATTTTCTAATGTCAATTATGATTAATAAGCATAATCCACTGGAAATTTAGTAACTACTAAATAAAGCAAACACTGGTTTTTAATAAAAGAATAATTCTCAATTTATCATGATGTGCCACTTTTTCAATTGGCATCTTCTACATTGTCTAGGCATGTGAGAAATTATAGAACATTTAATACATAATTAAAATAAACACAAAACATTGAGTAAATGTACAATGATGTCTTGCGGCCGCATGCCTTCACAAAACTATCTGTTGATGCCTTCTACATTTGACTTAAAACCTTAAAGGATGATTATAATATAATATAATCACATGAAAAATATTGCTGCCACATTATATTACAAACAATTATTATTTTCTATCAATCTTTAAGGATTGCTTCCATGATGTCAATGTCTCAAGTTCTAATTAAATAGATATTACAAAAGATATCACAAAACTTAATTTAAGCTTTAATTTTACTCAAGACATTTCTTAAAATTATCTATTATTTTCAAGCCGGCACCCGCCTCCGCCAAAGACATCAATAACTTTATTGGCACGCGGCACACTCCACAACACATCCGCTATCTTACCCGAATCAGTCGCTCTCGATCGCCGGCCGATCGAAGCTCACGCAACAAACTAACCATTCAACATAAAAACAAATTTGAGACTAAACCTAAGCACAGCGCCGAACGACGTATGCGACAAACGCGTCCGGTTACATTCTAATCTTCCTCGATCTCCGTCTCGGCGTAAAAAATAAACATAAACGCAGACTTATCGATTCGTCACTTTGGAAAAGACAACTAAACAATTAAAAGTTAAAACTATATTCGAGGAGGGTTAGGAGGGCTCGCGGGGCATACGCAAGCAGTGTCCAAGATGCGCTCAGCGCGATCACGAGTGCTTGACGATGATGACACCGGGCCGCGCCGGCGCGCGCTCTTTCTTAGTGAGGGCTAACGGCGCCTCGCCCGCCTCGCGGAACAGGTGGTCGCCTTCCAGGTGGCGGATCGCCTCCACTATCGTTTCTAAGTTTTGGCGGCTCGTGTTCGGCGTGTAGAGGCGCGAAGGCGGTTCCTGATTGGCTTCAGGGAGCATTTCCACGTCCACCCGTGGTTCCGCTTTGATAGCGGCTTCCAATAATGGTGCGGCCGTTGGGGGCTCGACCGCAGCCACGGTGGCTACAGTGGCTACGGTGGCTACGGCGGCTACGGCGGCGACAGATATCACCTTCGCTTCGTCCGTCTCCGTTTTACACTCTGTGACGTTTGTCTGCTCGTAATGGATCGCGGGATGGGGGAGCTGTTCTCTGCCCTCAGGGTACATCTGTGTTTCCAGTTTGTGCAGACGCTCCTCCAGAAGTCGCCTCAGTAAGCGTTCTCTCTCTAGTTGCACACGCACGTCGCTGCCTTCGGCTTCTTTCTTTTGGGGTGCACTAGATACTGTTATGACGGCCACAGGTTCGGGCGACTTAGAATTGGTGATAGTATCTTCAGTAGAATCAGGAATTATAGTGGGAACATGTGTAAGGATATCGCTTTTTCTTTTCTTTAATGGTATTTCACCACCTTCGTGTTGATTGAGTAATCTCTTCAACTGACAATTCTGAGATAGTAGCCTTGTTTTCTCCTGCTCCAATGAGTAAATGTATTCAGCAGTCTGCTGCAAAATAGCAGCCTGCAAACAAAAACAAAACACAAAGTTAAGACAACTATAATAAAATGGTAGGGATAGCTTTATACACACTAAGTTAGGCTTTCTTTGAACTTAAAACCCCTTTAGAATATTCAAGTGAGACTGACCATGTCAACCTCTGTAATGTGTTAAAAACGTCTCATGAGTTTTAATTGGTTGAAGGGAGAGATAGAAGGCCTCTGTTTAGGTTGTCACTCACTTGTTCTCCTTTACCATAGATTGTTTTTGCTAGTCCATGCGTTTCTTTTATTTTATTTAGAGTAACAAGGCTTTATCTAGACTGATTTCTTTGCTTCCCTTTTGGGAAGAACAAAAGGAAGAAAATTTTAATGTCACTTCACAATGTAATTTCTTATTCACGACAAGTAATTTCTTAATCAGATTTTTCTTTAAGATAATCCTTATGAATATGAATTATTTTAATGGAGACATAAAGTTAGCCATGCTGCTGCAAGATGGCTGTCGGCCTGTTGGTTTAATTTCTTCAAAAATATATGTAGGCTTTTTTTTTACTATAGGAAATGTTATATTGGACCATGCAATAACCCTTTGTCATTACAAGTAAGCAAGGCCTTTAGCTTCACATACATTCAACTCGTAACAAAGATGCAACAGGGACAGTAAGCGTATGTAAATTTATACTAAAAAGGAATTTATCTGGTAAGAAAAAATTATTCCATTTAAATTCCAGATAAAGATTATAAATATAAGATGATGACCTAGCTTCTAAATTTAATAAAAATCATTGTCAAACAGTTAAGAAATTTCAATATAAAGACAAGCCAAAGTGAGTATGGTCATTTCAAACCCCTTGAGATTAATAGTTCAATGCCCTTCCTGCGAGTCTATTGAGGTAGGCCTGGCACCCGAGTACTGAGTTAATTTTATTTCAACCTACAACCAAATACTGCTTTAAAACACATTTTTGTCTTTCCCTTTAAAACGTTATTTTTTATATATGAAACCCCGCAGGATAGAAATCATATGGAAAAGTTTGATCGAACTAAATATGAAAGAATGATTGTAGTATTGTCTGCCTGCCTATCTATTATGCTTTAAAACTCAATTTTGTCTTTCCTTTTAAAACATTATTTTTTATATATGACACCCCGCAGGATAGAGATTATATGGAAAAGTTTAATTGAACTGAATATGAAAGCATGATTCTTGTATTGTCTGCCTGCCTTACTAATCAGATAGCTAACTATCTAATATTCCTTTTTCCCACTATCCCCTTCAAAGCTAAGAAAAATTTGTTGTGACTTGATAAATCTATTTTATTTTAATTTCATTTCATAATCATGTTACCAATTATGAAATGAAAGCTAATACTGAACGCGAAAGTTACAGGCCCTAGATTGAGAAACAGGACACAGATGAAAACTTTTGGAGGCAACTACTTATTTCCATTATAGTTTTCTGTCTAGCTGCACCTTTGATGCTGTGCCTTACAAAAAATGGATATTTTGGTTTGAACTTCTATGTAAATATTTCACTACCTTGCTGAGTTTTTCTCCTTCGTGTCGGGGTAGAAGTGTTCGTAAAGCCTGAAAACCAGCATTGATGCTTTGCATGCGTCGTCTCTCATTGCTGTTAGCTATCTCTCGGCGGATTCTTTTTTCTGCCTCCATGGTTTTGCTTCCACCTGAAGAATGTTTTTCACTCCTGTGAAAAAATACACATTCACATAATCATGCATATTGAGTACATAAGTACATCCATACTGTTATTATAAAAGTGAAAGTAAGATCATTTAAACAACAACCAAAATGGATGATGATTAACAGCTTTTTCCTTAGTCTATCAGGTAGATTATTAAAAAGTATTGGGCATGTACTTTCTCAGTCAGTCATGATGATGACGATTGATGATTGACATGAGTAGATGATTTTTTTTATGAATATTCATTAAAAGACATTGTTAAATATGTTTAACAATAATGTTTTATAAAAGCAAAACTAAAATACATATTTTATACATATTGGCCTGATTTGAAAACTATTAAAAATATAGGTAATATATCAGAAAACTTAAAATTACAAATAAATAATTATATAGTTAGCAACAAGATTAATAACAAGAGGATCAATTGGCAAGCATCTTCTAAAATCCAAATTTATTTTAACATCTAAAGCAAAATCTACACAGACCAGGCATCAGACGGGACTCGAACCTAAACCCTCACAAAATCCAGGCAAATTACTGACCATTATGCTACCTAGCATTTCTTACACCGAAAAGCAGTGATATTTCTTTGCATTGTAGGTAACCCACAATGTCAAATGAATACCTTTACAAGTATTAAACATTTATATTTTTATTTTTTAAGCATTTAACTGCTGCAACTTAAATCGAAAGTTTTTTTTTCTTGTAAAATTTTCTTTAGATTTAAACATCTAACAGTTAAATGTTTAAAATATAACATACTAAAATATAGCCAATTCACTCAGGAATAATGTAGATTACTTTGTCACTGATGCATAATGTAGCTTCCTGATTGTATAAGATTTTTTAAAATCAGTGTAGTCTTTGAGTTGATTACTTTGTCACACAGAAAGATTTGTCTTTATAATATTAGGTAAGATAAGTCAAAAAATTAATGTGATAAAAATTTATTGAAACTTATCATCATTGCTGTGCCTAACAGGATTTAGAACTTTATATCAATATAATAATAAGTCAACATTAAGGTAGGTATGCAATAAGTTCATAAAATAGTATCCCTAACTTTATATCTATATATCTGTATATTTATAATACATTGATGTGATGGAAGTTGCCATCAATAAGTATGTGTATGTTACTTGGTTGGGTTGAAGTAGATATTGTTTCATTTTTACATACATTTACCTGTCAAGGCAATATGTTATACATTTATGAACAGCATTTAAAAACGATGTTTGCTAGTTCAAAATATCGTTTTATAGAAGTTTATATTGTAAAGATGTAAATAGGCTTAGATGATACCAAAACATACATTTTATTGGCTAACACAAGTCATGAAAAAATCTTTTGTGAATCATTATGAAGATAAATAAAATTGGTTTGTATATCATTCTATTGTATTGAACATCAATTTACTTCTTTTATCATTTATTGTTACAAAACAAATACAAAGGGAGAAGGACTATTCATAAAAAAAACATTACATGTGTTAGATTAATATCTCGACATGTGTATTGTAGGGCGCCTTACTACGCCTATTCGGTTTGCCAAACATGGCGGCCCAACAGCTGACTATAGACCGGCACGAAGCGTGAGCGTCATCATATGGTCGACGGTATAATATAAATTTAGTAGAAAGCGACCAAAATAAATAAAGGATATGTAATTAAGGAATTGGGTAAAGTACTAAAACTATTTTGTAGTATTGAAAACACGAAGTAAGTCGACAACCACGCCGGGTGCCCATACCTGGTAAAAGCGTGATCAGATGCCTCTTCTTCGTACAAATTGTAATCTTCCACTTCTAGCAAGCAAACATCATTACCGTGTAATGACATAACTCAGGTTCATTTAATATAGGTTTTGAACAATTATTTGTGCAAAGCTGAAAGGATCTGGCAAATATTACGAATTATTGTCCACAAAAATCACAATGGCGGGAAATGACAATGAGTCCGGTCAGGTGACGCTTCACAAATTTACCAAAAATGTAATCAAGTCCAGGTTTTCCTCACTGTTTAAAACACGTATCACTATTAAATAAATACACTGCAAGTAATTGTCATTTATAATACGAAATATTTTATAAAACAGTAATTATTTTAGGAGGGAGTCAAGGGCAACGCGACATCGATGAACACACCATAGGTTGCACTGTTTGTTGTTATAATTTTCGCAACTAAGGGCAAAGAATAATTAATATACAGCCTAAATAAGTTATTATTGGTGTCGATTCTGGCATGATTGTCTAAATTTAAGCTCAGCCTATCCTTTCCATTTTGTATAGAGAATGATAAGGATACACTGGTATCGATTCTGGCATGATTTTCTATACCTAAACTTGACGAAAAGTGTATCTTTGTCATTGTCTTTACAGAATGAAAGGGACAGACTGATGTTGAATTTAGTTTTAGATTAGAGAATGATGCCAGAATCTACACCAGTACCAGTTAAAATTTTTAGGCTTTCAGACCTTGGGGTGCTACTTCGGAAATATCCTTGTGAGCCCGGTCCATATCTCGTCCCATGGCATGGCACTCGTGCTTTCGAAACGGAAATGGACTCGGAACGGTGCACTCTGGGCACTGGGCGCCTGCGTATTGTCACCCACTGACATAACTGGGCACCGTTAATCAAATAGTTAACTTCGTTAATCCGTTACTGAAAAAAACCATCATTTTGTGAACCTACGGCTGGACCAGAGATCTTGTATTGAAAAGCGGCAAGAAACTGCAAGGCCTGTTTTTTCTCCCTTAATTGTTTTTATATACAGTGGTATCGATTCTGGCAGGATTTAGAGAATCCTGAAAAACTTTAAATTAAATGTCTCCTTTTCATTCCGTATAGAGAATGACAAGAATACAATGTAGTCAAATTTAAGTTTAGGTTTACAGAATCGTGTCAGAATTGACACCACTGTAAATATAAAAAAAGATAGCGGCCGGCAGATCAGACAAGCTCAGAACTCAGACAGAACAATCATAGATATATAAATCTGACCACTGAGCAAGAAGTTAAATATCTATGTATATAGATAAATATCTTTATATATATATACAGTGACCACAAATTCATTGACCCTAGTAATGTTTTATATCCTTCTCACATTTTATTTAAAGTTGCCATTTTAAATTAAGAGTCCTAAATAAGGAGATTGATGAGCAGAAATGAACCATAATCAATAAGTAATTCATTGATTTTATTGTTTTTTTTTAATAAACGCGTTATAAATATTATTAACTCCTCTTGAAAACAAGCAGAAAGGTATTTAAAAAAAAATATTACACTCAACCCTAAATGTCGGGCGCTATAATTTTAATAAAATGTTATCACTCATGATTTGACATCTCTTCGAAGTTCAGTAGAAAAGAAAGGGTTTATGTTACAGTTTTTGTGAATTTGTAAATATTTTGCGAAATTGCAGAAGTATTTCAAAACCTGCCGGCCTATTTGCAAACTCTTTTTGATAATTACAGTGTTGTAACTAACTAAAGAAACAATTGCATGTCTATCGATGCTTTTCATAATAAATATCTTACTTAGTGGCGTTATAATAAAGCAATAATGGATCACTAAATATCTCGGTGATTATCACTTCCATCCGTTAAACACAGTTAGCGAATAGGCCTACTGGTTCTTATGTTAGGTTCTACAGGTGAGTGTAATTTTACTATTTTAAGCGTACTTAACCTCAGTCACAAATGTTTCGATTAATACAAATAAATCCTTATTTTTCATTTTGGATCTTAAAAGGGTGAAAGTCTGGTGGTATATCAATCACATTTGGTACTTTTTGTGCTATATCAGTGTAGTGATGTTTAATAATACTTTCTAGTTGGGTAACAATATTTTGGTAAATTTTGAGAAAAGAATTACCTATTATACTAACTAGTTACTTTTCTTAACACAATGATGAAATTTCTGCCTGCAATAAGACCCATATTGAAGTATTAGGTTAAACATATTTACAATATTGTTTAAATAATCTTTTATTTTTAAATAAATTATTGATTTATTTTATATTCCAAATATATTGAAATCGATGATGCAGTATCTAGCTAGTTTGGCCATGTGGTTTTGAAAGTTACGCTACTTGCAATGGCTGGTCATCTGGTAAAATACCAAAAACGATAAAATATGCGTCCCTGCGTTTTTACAGCATTTAGCTTAATGGCACCCCGTGCATAATTTTAATTTGCATTCAATAGCACTCTCCATTATGTGGTGGGCACACGTGGCGTGTTAGGTTAAACTGTAAGACAGCCCGTTTGCCCTAATTGGTATTCTTAATCTTCGAACTTGAATAATTTAATTTTGCATAGCGACATATTCAAATAAATTAGTTATTATGTTAGTAGTATTAAAAATACGTTCATTGTACCTTACTAATCTTATAAATGTGAAAAGTATATTTAAGAAATTAAGAATAAAAGGTTCACATATAATATCTTTTTCTGGATTGAGATATAGGAAACTGATAAACCTTGAAAAATATTAGGTCCCTGAAGGGTTCATAAAATAGTAAAGTTTACGCGGACGAAATTGCGAGTGGCCGCTATTAGTTTATAAAGTTTCCTGCTGCTTTTATGAGTGGCACAAGTGCACAACCCATTAACTGAAAGTTACTTTATGACGAGCACATATGGTTAAATATAAAAACAATTGAAAAATTTATACATTCAATAACTGCTCTGTCTATCCAATTGAAAAAAAAACACTACAAGGGAATAAGTAACTCGTTATTAGACAACGTGTGCCATATTTATTTATTTTATTCTATAACAAAATATGAATACCATTTCTGAGTATTTTGTCCTGTACAAACGTTCCAACGTGGTCACCTTATTGTATTTCTCCTTCTACACAAAGAGACAAGAACCATTCCTTCGTTACATCATTGAAGATTTGAATTGAATTTTTTAGCTTCAACTTACTGCTTGTAATTAATCCCTCCAGAGCTGAGAGAAGAAACCTGAGGTAATTTTCCAATTACACTAGAGCGCATTATGCGGCATAATGCTTAACGTTGAATGTTTCAACTACAGCAACGTTTCGCACAATCGAGCACTCTTAAAAGTAATGTTTTCGTGTGATGCGTGCAATAGTACCAACTCAGTGGCAGAAAATTAACAAGCGTTTTTTCTTAAATGTGGCATTGATCGAAATGATTTATTTATTTAATTTTGTAAATAATATTATTTATTGTTGAAAATTTTTTAAAGCTTTCTTGTATTTTTTTAAAAAACCAAAGTTACTTCAAACTGTGTTAAAAAATTAAATATAATTATGGATGAAGGTACAAACATTGACTTTTTTTTTCAACACTGAACTTAGCGCACTCTGCTGGTGCATTTGAAAACTAATTCACGTTCCAATTAAGCATCAGCATAATTCGGCATTGTGCGCCACTGAGTCTTATTATGCTCCGTAATTGGAAAACTACCAGAATAAAGTTAAAATGGTATAATATACCGTATAAATATGAGCGTTTTCCATTTAGAAAAAAAAGTCGACACTGTGTTGCACTGTGTCGACGATACTATAGCAAAAACCTAATGCCAACTAAAGCTTGGTAATTTCAATACTTTTCATTGGTAAAAGTGTTACCTCTATATCTTGCCGCTCTGTTGCTCTTTGGTTTATTCCTCTAGCATCTGTATGTTGGTACCATCTATCTCGTCTGTGGTTAATATGCTTGTTATGGTAGTATTGAAGCGTCGTAGCAAAGCCAACCAATCAGAAATAATCGCTCAATTTTAAATTTATTTCAGGAGGGGGATTTGGTCGTGCCGCCATATTGTATCAGGCTGTGAGTGCATGAAGTGAAAATTTCACTGTTTGTGGTGTAAATTCCCTGTCTGGATATTCGGATTGAATTTTTCCCTGGTAAGTTTAAAATGAATGTCAGTTTTTGTTATGAATCTCTTTGTCGGACCTTAATTTTAATCTAAGTTTCAAGAACCGGTGTCCATACAAAAAGTTTTCTAGTTAAAATGTTCTTTACAATTCCAGTAGGTATCAGCAACCATCTTCTGTAGTTATTGGAAAGTAGTTGCCATATACCTTTATTTGTGTTTAAAGAACAGTTTAAGGTCATTTGGTCATGTTTACCTAAACCACCACTTTCGGTGAGCAGTTCAGAGTACAAGGGTTTTTGATATGTACCGATTTTCATAACATTACCTACCTGCTTTTAGAAGATATTACTCCCGATTTTCGAAATACCTTTTTATTTTCTATTTTCCCCACAAGCTTTTTATAACTTCAAACAATCAATGTTAGCGTAGCTAACGCACGATATAAGTTGGCTTCTTTTCTTTGTGATTACGATGAATCATCAAACTAGGGAGAGAAAAGGGTGTCGCTTTTATTGTCAAGACTCGTCGACACTTAATTTATTTTGATTCATTATTGATTGATCACATTTTCCAGACTGGTAATAGTATATTAAATTTGAAAACTGGTTCTATGGCTGTAACGAAACCATTCGATATTTTTATCTAGTATCCGTTCGTGATCTTGTCCGCGATACTTAGTTTTTTGAAAATCCTACAAGTACCTTAAATTATTCCGGTATAAAAAGTATCCTACGTTTTAATCGAAGTAATAAAATAAATTGTTGCAAATTTCATCCAAATCTGTTCAGCCGTTTTTACGGGATTAAGTAACATAAAAAATTTCATAATTATAATATTAACTAGGATTATTTACCTGGCTCCTGTTCTGATCTCTTTGACACTAAATACAGATATTTTATTAAAATTTGTGTAAAAAGAAAATAGTGAATGCTTAATTTCGCAATTCTCCGAAAAAATCTAGATAATCATAGTGGCGATATGTTTGTCATAATGTGAAAGTTTCAGTTTTGAACTATCTGTCCCTGTTAATGTTACTTTTATTTTTCTCAAAGGTTTCATTCATTACATTTTAAATACACATTACATTACACTAGACAGTGATTGTTAGTACTTGTATTCTTCACTGAATCAAACTAACCCCCTAATTGTTTCTTTGTGTCCTGCTTGCCATTTTCTCTCTCCTTGAAAGGTTCTGGAAATATTTTTAAGAGTACTTATCCAACAGTTTCAGGTTCCCAAACAAAAAAAGAACAATAATTCTTGAAAAGCTGTGATTAATAGGGAATAGTTATCAATCCCTAAACTGCTTTAAAAGTAAAATTGTCTCTAGGTCGCTTGCAGAACACCAGGGCATAATTTTCCACATTAACCAAAGACCTTTACCTTTATTTACCTTTAACAATACCAAAATATACCACCAGTAGTCAGTCATGATGAGTCATTGATAAACTGTGATTCCAGCAGCCATTACTGATGACTCAATTAAATATCTATCATAATCTCCTTTAATCCCTATGTTTTAAAAGATTTTTTTGAAAAGTTCAATATGTTGGAATTGAGTTTTATTAATTTGTAATGGTTTTTATATACCATATAAATATATATTTATTTATGTACCTGGGGGTTGATTCTGCTAAGTTGAAGTAGTAATTGTGTATCAATAAGACTACAGTAGTTGTGATTTTTGACACCGTTATTGTTAGTGATATAATTAATGATTTGATAAATTAATGAGTGTTTTGTAATCTCATTGTATCACAATTATACATATTTGATATGCAGTTGGAATATATATAGTTAGCATATTATTATATCATATCATCTTTTCATAGACACAATAATTAACAATTATTACAAACTAAGGCATGGCTAGGGTTGTATTAAAGGGAATAGATGACTCCCCATAACACTAGTGGTAATGTTAAAAGTGTTTTTAATCCTTATCTTAATACTTCAACCCCCATTATAAATTATAATACTACTCCTATTTAGGCCAGAGCTGTTTATATATTTTTATTATTTTGTATCTACATTTTTTTCACAAAACCCAAAAAATCAAGATGACAGACTTTTTGGTTTTTTTTATCCCCCACAAAATACCTTTTTATTTCCACGAAAGGTGCTTGCAAAAAAAAAACTTACTTTTTTGTCATTAGTTTTTCGATTAAAAATAAATATTTTCAATCAAAAAATTAAAGCATGTTTGGGATATAAAAGTAAAGGTATGTTCTTGTTAAAAAAGTAATTGTATTTATTGTATAGGCCCATAATCGGCGATCACTTCTCAGCTCCATATTTCTTCTCTTGCAAATTGCAACACACACTGTTCAAAGATTTCCGTGTTCAGGCACTGAGGTAAAATTATAAGTGATTGAATATAAAGGTGCTGTCCGACGGCCTGTGTTGTCGCGGGCGCAGCCGTGCCGCGCAGGGTTGCCAAACTTATGAGAACTCTACTCTATTTTTTGCTTTTGGTCGCGTCCAAATCGTCAGTCTTGGGAGCTACTGAATTCAGCATTTTAGGGTTCACGTAACATCCCTTCTCAATGGCTAACACGTTCGAATATTTTTTTCCTATATTCTATCATTTCGTACCACCACACCATGCAAATTCGCAGATTAATATTTTTTCTGTCCTTAGAACCATTACGTGAACCCTTCAGTAACTTTATTCAAAAGACTGACGACTTGGGCTTGACAACCTTAACAATCCTATTTTTAAACCTTATACCTACAAATGGTACGGAATTACGGAACACTTGTCGAGTCCGATGCGCACTGGACCGGTTTTTAAGTTTTACATCAATCCTGAATTTTAGGCGTCTTTACTTAGTAGGACGAGTGGGCCGAGTAGTTATTTTTCCTTGATACACTTTCACCATTCTTTAAGTGTACGCGTACATGGACCTTAAATGGTGGGATTGCATGTATATTATTACTTTATTATTTATACATTAATCTTCAAATGACAAGACATTTTATGAAACATCAAATGAACTTAATATGAATTAATATTACCTATATTGATCATGCAAGACAGAAATATTGTTAGTGAATTTATTATTACTATTTGGTAGATAATTTCATGATATATATTTTTTAATATGATTTCCAGCATATATCCGCCGCTACTCCGAGTTACGTAGTCCATTCGATCAGACCAATTTTTCACTACTTTTTCCATTATATCCGGCCGTATGGCGTCAATTGTGGCTTTAATATTGACTTTTAATGCTTCAAGAGATGCTGGTTTGTCAGCATAAACCAATGACTTAACATAAGCCCCTAGAGCTTACTTCCCCAGACGGGCGCTCCGATTCGAGCGGAAAATCCGCTATGCCCTATCTCTCTTAAATTTAAGGCTTATTTGATAATAGTTTGTATTGATACTAGACATCTCTTACGATAGATTTAGGTAACTAATCGTTTATTATAGAATAAGGACTTAGAAATAGGCAGTAAAATTCCGATATGTTTTCGTTTTGCCTGATTATGTGCAATAAGCCTAGACTGTTGACGCCATGGTTTGCACTGGCAAGCATCATGCGAACTTGACAGTAAACTTGATCGTGTGTGGGTATTTAAGGACGAAATGCATAGGTACCTACTTGACGCCGCTTCAAGCGCGCTGCAGAATTGACAGTAAACTTGATGGTGTATGGCAAGCATTAAGTCTAAGTGAAATAAATAGTGCTTTCCTTTTAGACACGGTTTTACACTTATACTTAAAAAACACCTATATAAACATAGTTTGGTGAGTGTGCTAGGCAAAGCCTCTTTAGGAAATTTGTGTAAGCTACAACGATAATTTATATTCCATTAAACTGCCTAAATAGTGAAGTGATAATTTTACGGGACAAATACCAGTGCTTGAATATTTTCAGAATTTATACACTTTGATTTTAGTGAGTATGCTAGGCTAAATTTTGTATATATTGTATTGCGTCCGTCATATTACAGTAGTCACCGCAACTAGCGTGGTGTGTACTTGCATGGACGCGCAAAAGAAGCATCGCTTTAGTAAATTTTGTCAGCTTTTCTCCTTATAACATGATCTCTCAGATATTTTTGTGGACCCTTTTCTTTGCAGTCAGGAAATTCTCTTTACGCCAGTAAATAATAGACAGACCCGAACCATTACGATTGTTTGACGGAAAACCGGAACATATCACATCATGGAACTGAGTCTGCGGTAAATTTTTCGGCGTACTTTAAAATAGTATCGTCAGGTTTTCATATAATATGATAAACTGCTACACCAGCTATCTTCGCGAGTGTACTCCAACGTGTATCATCAGGTGGGGTGGACTCATCTGTCGGACTAATTGTAAAATTTGCGTGTGTGACGAACCAAAAATATTTAAACCTTAATACCACTTACTAGATTATAAAGAATGACTGGTAATAGAACTTTCAATAGTACCCTATTTAAAGTTGTTATACCAGTCATTCTCTTTCTTGCTCTAAAGATAAATAAAATTTATATAATCCAATGAAATTATTGGAAGATCTTCTTTAAATGTATGGCATTGTTATTTCCTTTTTCTATTAATATAACGTTATCATATACGTATGAAACCAGATTAATTTTCGTTTACATAGCGCCAGATACCGATATTTTTAATTAAATTGCCTTTATATAAAAAAGAATGATAACTTCTACTTGATAAAGAATGAACTAGTAAATGCGCTCCACATAACTGTGACTAAATAAATGTATGACATGAATGTACAGTATAGTCACTGCTTAGTTTTCCTGGTAGTTAGCATTTGGCAGATCATGTGACGGGGTGCTGAATTACTTGTGGTTTAAATCCGCAACCGGCTGAGCTACCTATCGATTTTCCATTTGTCTATGATGAACGCGTGAATGTTTACATGCATTATTAGAATTCTTACAGAAGATCAGGTTCAAATTAAGAACAGCTTAATAAATCTAATATATAAAATTCTCGTGTCGCGGTGTTTGTGGTTAAACTCCTCCGAAACGGCTCGACCGATTTTCGTGAAATTTTATATGCATATTCAGTAGGTCTGAGAATCGAATGTAATTTATTTTTCATCCCCCTAAATGTTAACGGTAATCCACCCCTAATATATTTTTTTTAATTTGAGATATATTTGTTTTAATTTTTTTATGATACATCAAACACAAATACATACAACCCTAAATTTTCACCCTTCTACCACCAACCCCTATTTTTTTATGGCGGTACGAAGTTCGCTGGGTCAGCTAGCACATATATGATATATTCAAATACATACCTAGCCTAGTTTCACAACATGATCCGTGACTGTATCTGGATACACTTTGAGTGAAGTTTACACTCCTTTTTCACAAAAATGTAGTTTTGTGGCTCCTTGAGAAACACGCCCCACCAAATCATCACTGACGCAGGATGATGGTCACGCTGTACCTTTCCGACCACTTGAGCAGCTTCTTTAGAACTGTGAGCGTACACTATCATTTTGCTTATTGTAGTGTTCTCCAATCGTGAAATTTTTTTCATCGGTAAAGAGGATATTTCCGTGCTTTTCACCTGCGTATCGCTACAGATGGCGTTTTGATCGATCCACTCTCTTTAATTGTAAAGATTGATTTAGAGCATATCCTGTATATCGACGATAAGCACCGAGCTTCAGGTCTTGTTTTATAATACGCGACAGAGTCCTAGCGGGACGACGCGGCCTCTCCAATCTTCTCTGGTCTTCGACAGACTAAGTGTTGTTGTTTCCGTTGATAGTATGATACTATCCCGTTGATTTCCGTTGACAGTATGATAGAATATAGAATAGATAGTATGATAGAAGATAGAACTATTCCGTTGATAGTATGATAGAATACGAACATACGCCTCCCCATGTTCTGTACTACCCCATTCCATATTGTAATTTGATAATGAACACGAAAAAATATGTGAAATGGCGCAAAATCGAAAGAAGTTATTATTTATTTATACATTTTCTTTTGTTTTGTTTTTAAATAATATACGTGTTCCAAATTAAAATAATTAAAAGTTGAAAAAAACAAGATATTTTTATGTAACAGTATTTATGGCCAGACTATTTAAAAAAAAGGTAGTTTGTATGACACGCAATACATAATATACATAAATACACCATATTTTACAAAGTTTTTAATTAGATTTGCTCATAAATACCTAATACATATATTTTTATAATGTTAATAAATATTTCAACCTTCATAGACCGAAGTGTACTATGGCTTGTATAACAAAATTCGAAAAATTTTGAATAATGGCGAAAGATCTCGAGTCCGATATTGATTGAAAATAAAACTGCATCATTTGTTTGCGAAAATTCAATATTCTGGACCATGACTCGAACTCATTGATTTTAAAAATAAATCTGTACAAAGAGATTTTTTTCAATTATCAAATCCAATTCTATGTATAATAAACAGCGGGGTCCGATTTTAAATAAATCTGCATCATTATATTATTGAAAAATATCAATATCCCTAGCCAAGATCGAACCTGTCGATTTTTTAACAAAATCACTAATAATAATAATTAATTACATAGGTACTGTTCGTTAGTTTCGTTAAGTCACCTCACCAGGTAGGTAGTGAATTATTGGTTCAATATTTTTCTTCAGTTTAATCTTCACTGTACTAATACTATATTGGCTGGACGCTGTCCGAGTTCCAAACTCCGTACACCCACCCATCGAGCTGTTGCCCTTGAACGCACACGAGTCAAGGTCACTACTCACTACTGATTTACTTGGGAGTTTTTTTAGTCAACCAGCCAGCCCTATTTAATACTGCTTCTATTGTACTCATACGACAATAGCTTAGGTTGAGTGTCTGATCTAAGCGTAGTGGGGAAACAGGTTATTGACCCCAATGCGTTTGTTAACCAATTTGAAAACTGTTCGTGATGGACTACGTATTATAAAGACGCGCTATACTCCCTCTCTTGTTACAATTAATGTTAACGTGGGGAAAGATGTACGGTAAATGCTATCGGCTCGGACTATTATGGTTCCGTACTTCTATAGGCATAACGGAACCCTTATTTATAGGATCACTCGTCTGTCACAGTCAATTTGCTCGGAATGTAATGGACCGATTCAAGCTGAAATTTGATACTTTCGTATCAAATAAAGTAAAAAAAAACAAATATGGGGGTTACCTTGCGGGGTGGCGGGGGATAGAAAATTATAAAATAAAAATCGTGCTAACTGTATCGTTTTATATATCAAATGAAAGAGCTCAATGTCAAAATTTCAAACGTATTTTTTACAAATATTAAATGAATAGTTGTAAAAAGATTGTAGATGAAAATTGACCTGTCATATTATTATTTGCCCGTGACATAACTTTCATAGACTAATATTATAAATGTGAGAATGTGTTTGTCTGTAAGCTCATCATGCCTAAACCATGAAAGAAGAAATTTGGTATAGATATAGTTCGAGTCCCGAGAAAGGACATAAGATAGTTTTTATACTAGAAATCATCATTTGAAAGGGGTGAAAATGGCGGTGGAAGTTTGTATGGAACACCAACTTTTCCACACAGACGAATTTGGCGAGCACTCCGTAGTGTATTTGTATAAAACTAATTACATCTATAGAAGTCTTCAAGAAGTATGTGTCATAAAAAAAAATAATGCTTTAATCGAAATTTCACTTTTTCAAATGTATAATGCTCGTGAAAGTATTTTGTTTCACATTGTAGTTGACTTTACTTACAACATGTAAAAGGTCAAATCAGGGGTCAGTTTATACCGAGATGCTACTAATAAAACTTATTTTACTACTACACAAAATACACATTTCATTGAGCCAATTCGTCGCGCTTTGTCGGGCAATTTAATATTGTGTTAGGCAATTCATCCAAGTGGGCCTAAACAGCATGAACAACACTCAAACAAAAGATGAATTAGAATATTATGTTAACCTACTCTAACCAGTCACCGATGACTGCGAAGCTTGTCTGTGCATTTTTATTAAAAATATTTTAAGTTGGATGTGATTGTTTGCACGCCAAGATAAGGTTCGGACCTCGCTATGACTAATGCCACTGCTATTTACTCTACATTGAGAGTAACGAATAGGATAATGAACGATAAATGCGACGATGTGCTAGGAATTCGGCTCGCTGCTAATGACCAATGATAAGTTACGCTGCGCTACTACTCACTTATACACAGTTCATTTTCAAGTCTGAGAGATCCGTGAACAGATCGTACATTATTTACTTTACCTACTGTAGTTGTTGTTTTGGTGGTAACATTTATAAATCTGTAAGTACCTTTTCGTTAAAAGATAACATTATACATATTGTTTTCTTTTTATAATTTATATGGATAAAGTTACTAATACAATACCATAGTAAGGTAGTATGTAATTATTCCGTTACATTTTTTTGACCAATTTTACTACTTCTGTCTAACTTGTATACTCTTTAATATTTTACTTTATCACAAAGTAGGTAGTACGATTAAAATCCCACCTAATGTATGTACTAAGTTTGTATTAATCTTTAAAAACTTATTTTAGATACTTACCTACTTTGTGATACAGTAAAATATACATATTATGTGTACACGGATGAATAGCTATAAAACATAAAGGGCGATCCACTTTGATAGGACAGGATACTATTTCGGTCGTGGGTTAACATTTATTTTGAGCGTATTCCCAGTGCCCTGACCTACTGTTATTCATTGTATTCCAATATAGCTTCCTCGTACCTGAATGTTATATTTTTATCTTAAACCTAATATAATTTTGATAATTTGAATATTCGACATGTAACTCTACATAGTACGTTTAAAGTATCTCGCCGTGTAGTACGCCAAGTATTTAAGCGAGATATAACATGCGATTTTTTTTTATTCAAATAAAAATAAAGCCGCATATTAAACGCTAGCGGCCGCATGCGACTTCGTCCTTGTTAACTTTAGTTTTTTTTAATCCCTTAAACATACAAAAATACTTTCAGTGCATATAAGAAATTATTTGCCTCCAATGATAGTACATACAGCCAAAATGAGTAACTTGTTTTGTTATATACCTAATCCATCCATAACTGCTTTGCTTTATTTTATCGGATACCCTGCCTACATTTAATTCCTTTTACACCAAATTTAAATTCCTCTATATTCTTATTACATGTCGTCCCAGATGAATAGGTAATTAAGTATCATTCTTGTAGTTTACAATAAAATAAAAATAATAAGTTATGGCGAAAACAATTATTAAACAATATGTCCTGGACTATAAAAAAAAGTTGGGTATTTCAATTTTTTGCAGAAATTTTTAGCTTATGTGAAAAAAGTGTAATACTTAAACATGAGTAGGTAACGAAAAGATCTATTCTTTTGGTTACCTACAACCTTGCTATTGTTATTTTTCCGATAGAGGTTTTAGATTTACCGAAAATCGCTATAAACTGTTTTACCTCTTAAAATGTCAATCCTTCCGGACCTAATTACTCTCAATTTATTTTATGTATGGGTTTCATCCTGTTCCGAATTTATATCACTTTTAAGATTTACTATTTTCATTTGTATGTATGTGGCGTATGCACAATAAACAAGACGCCCGATTTATATTCGTATTACGTATTTAACGCTTTAATGGATAAAATTGAGAACGCTGTCAAATATTGATTACGGTTTCGCAGGCAAGCAAGCATGGGTGCTAAGCAGAGCAAGCGCTCGGTGGACATCAGCGGGAAGGAGGCGGAGGGCGCGGGCGAGGTGGCGGCCGCGGGCGCCGGCGGCGAGGGCCGCATGGAGCCCCTGGCCGACGCCGATGCGCTCAAACCGCAGCTCAACGGGGACGCACACATTCACGAGCAAACAGTAATCATCACACCATTTATATTGAATTGTATAAAGCTTCAGACTTCCTACTACTAGTTCTCCGGATTCTATGATTCATTATTATCATGGGCGCCGCAAGTATTATTTTCACAGTGTATAATTATTATACATGTACTAGTATGCCCGCGACTTTGTCTGCGTGGAAAAATTGGTATCCCATACAAACTTTCACCATCCCTTTTCACCTCCTTTAAGGGTGATTACTAGGATAAAAACTATTCTATGTTCTTTCCCGGAACTCAAATTATCTATACCGAATTTCATCGAAATTGGTTTAGTAGTTTAAGCGTGAAGAGGTAAAGGAACTGGAAAAGTTAGTTTATGTTATCACGTGATTGATACCAAAATCAAACTATTAGGATTTAGAAGTTTTGTTTCTAGATGTCTAATTAATAAGACATTGATTTTCGACTTTTAACTTTCCTAATAGACTATAAGTGATTTTTTCGCGTATTATGCGTACCAAATTTCAACCAAATCCGTTCAGTATTTTTTGCGTAATTGAGTAACAAACATACAAACTCACATCTATACTAATATTGCAAAGCTGAAGGGTCTGTTTGTTTACGTACGTGGGAGTTTATGCTTTAAACTTTAAACGTCTTCATATAAAGTCCGTGAGTCAGAGTTCTGAATCATTAACTGCGCGCTGAGCTATTTAATGATTAAGACAATGCTTACATAATAATTATAGTTAAAAGAATAGATGCTGTATTTTATAAATACACTAATAGGCTGTGAATCCATTATTTTCAAAATAATAGTTTCATATTATTAATTATAGAACCGCGCTGAATCTAATATGCATTATTAGTTCCATACTAACACTTCGTATACACAAATAACGGTTCAAAACCCACGTGACTAGCGAAGCAACTAAAGACAATCAATTGTTTGTAAGAAGTTGAACTCGTAATTAGAACGAAGTATGAACGAGTACGTAACAGATCTTTAAGCTACTCTCGACTGAATAAACAGGACTGACTAACTCATGTTGCCTAGTCTTTTGTATTTTTGTCTTTAGAATATAACTGCGTATATAAATAGTATATTTATTAATATTAATAAATCTATTTAGGTGGACTGAGAAAAAAAGTAGGCGGTTATGGAACAGTTATTGTTTTAAGAAAAATACATCAAGTGTCTGTCATACGGATAAAGCGTTTGTAACAGATTAAAGGAGTGATTGCAAAGCTTGAAAGGAATTTGTAATGACCAACGCTCAGACGGGGCTATCCCACGACTTCCTGTCTAGATAAAATTCTTTGTGTAACTTTCTTAGGACTATAGATAGTGTGTAGATTAGACAATTTAAAAATAAAGTAGTAGATGTATTTTTTAAAGAAAGCCGCTTCAGTATTGAACATATTTCAACTCTTGACTAAAAAAGGTTTTTAGCAGCAAAGCAAACATGGGAAGGTTTTATTATTGACGAGTGACCCGCCCTCGCTTTGCTTCTGTTTAGACTAAAGATGCACCGAAATTCGTTTCACATTCGGTTTTACCGAACTTCACCATCGGCTGAATATTGGTTAGATCTCATGAATAGCAACCGAAATTGGTAGCTAAAATTAATTTAAAAAATAAATGGAAAATTGAAAAGAAATGTTTTTTTTTTTTAATGAATTTTTGATCAAATGATGATTTGTAAGCAAATAATGAAAATAGTTATAACGTGGATGACAGATAAATGTTTGTTTTTATTGCCCTAGATAAGAAAAACATCAACTATAAAAAAATATTAAAAAAAAAATCAATTGTATTAATCAACATGGTATCATAACATTGTTTCATCTTTGTAATTTATTTTAGATAATGATACTTTGACTTTTATTATTTTTTTATTTTAACAAAACAATATTTACTTAATCATTTTGTTCATTGAACAATAGTACGCGAAATTTAACCGAATTTCGGTCAATCTTCGGCTGACATTCGACTTCGGCGCATATTCAAACCGAATATTCGGCCGTATTCTACATTCGGCAGGATGCCACATTCGTGCCAAAACTAGTTTAAACGGTCTAGTACCCATTGGACCCTCCTAATTGGACCTTACCTACAAAAAAGTGCCCGTTCGACCTCCTATCAAGAACATGGTGCCCATTGGACCCTCAAAGACGTACTTAACGACGTAATGAGAGCTATTTATTTTTATTTTATTTATTTATTATGCTATTGGAGCTCTTAACTATTTGGCTAATTCTTTTGGAACGATAAAGTACAGTCGTGTAGTAAAGTAACATTGTAAAAGACATAAAAACACAAAGGTAATAAATCTAAGTATTTAATCAACATATTTATAAAATTCAAAACACTCATCATCAGTAACAAACCAATATAAATATTTACATAAAATATAATAATCAAATCACAGATTTTTTACTTTACTTTTAAAGTCAACAGAAATTATTTTTTATCAAATAACTTAACTAAATTATAAATATGGTTTGTTATATCACACAGATTAAGCACAGTTATTATATATTCTAAATATTGAAAAAATAAATAAAAGCACAAAGGTTATAAATGTAAGTATTTAAAATCAACATATTTATAAAATTCGAAACATCAGCAACAAACCATATAATAATCAAATCACAGATTTTGTTATTTTACTTTTAAAAAGTTTTTTTTTCAGATATCTTAACTAAAATATACATACAGTTTTTATATCACTCAGATTAACTATTGAAGCACAATTATTATGTATTCTAAATATTCATAAAATAAAATACCAATGTAATATTTTCATATTACATTTTATAAAAAATGTTTTCTAATCATATTTTTACAATTAACGAGAAATTGCTTATTATAAAAACATACTTTAACTAAAGGATATGGTTCAAAAGCGGTAGTCGGTTTCCGGCAGGGACGAAATATATATAATTTGAAAGTTTGTATAACATGAATAGATACTTTTATTTTTTTATTCATTACCGATTATTTTAAAATCGTGTTTAATAATTAAACAACTTTGTAAGAATGCTGGCCACCCTATCTTAGTAACGTCATATTTTTAGTGCGTGGTGGCTTATAACGTCAACTCAATCACTATGGCATATATCAATCAGTCCAGTCATGGATTATTATCAGAATTATTATCACTGCTTTTGTTACACATTGAACATAATATATTTGATGCTTGGCAACAAAAAATAAATAAATAAACTTGGCATTTGCAAATCAATTATTGGATAGATTTATGTTATTTTAATATAAAAAACCGGGATAAAATAAAATTCTAGTTTTTAGTCAAACGATTCACAATTAAGTGCGCTGCATCTCATAAAAACTTGGAGTCTGCCGAAAGACCCACTACCAACAAAAAATTTAACAGTCTTCTTTTGTAAAACATTATAAATTACCAAATTAAATATTTAAGACACATATGTGAGTAATTTTTCTAAGCAATGGCCTACGGTTGTAAGATTATTTTCTAGCTGCAACATAGGTCATAAATCGGAACGAGACAGCAATATTTCTCTCTCTCCCACATATGAGATCAGCGCCATCCTTTTGTTTAAGCGCAGAGATTGCTTGGGCTTGGAATCTATAACCTTCCTTTCATCAGGTGCGTAAGAGGAGTATAACTGCCGATAAAAATACTCAATCTCCCTCAGAATTTCAGTCTTAGATCAAAAGATGATGTCTTTGCAAAATCCACCGTCATGTTGCTTAGATTGTCTAGATCCAAGCTGTTTTAAGGAACTTGGAATCAATCGAACTTTGTTCGATTTGAAAGGTCTTGTGGATTTGGTGTTGCGCTGTAAGGCTATTTATTGGTCAGTGTACGATTGCCCTATTGAGTGAAAACTTTTTACATTAATGATCATTAATGTAATTAAATTCAAAATTAATGTAATTAATGATCATTCCTTTAAACCTAAAGCACAAACATATAAAATGATCTTTAAAGAAAAAAAGGTTTTACAATATTTACGAAAATAAAAAGATATTGAAGTATTATCATTGTCACTTGCACCCTTATAACCCATAGAATAAAAATACATGTCAGTAGTGCAATATTTTGTTTTGGCTCCTTGTCAATACGAATAAAATAAAAATAAACATTATACAAATTAAATTTTGATTACTTTTGATTCACTTTTTATTTTCTAAATATCTCCCTTATATCTTATTGTACGAGTACCTTACTAAAAATCCAAATGTTTTAAAAATTAGCTTTTCTTAAAGGTTACTATCATCTGTCTGCGTCCCGTATTTATAGAGCAATAGACGAAAAACAGTTTTTTTTATTTTTTCTGAAAACTTACGTTTTTGTAGTTATCTTTTTATTCTCCCGGGATGGCGAAATATCGTTAATTCGAAGAAAAAAGGTAACCTGATTTCTTTACAATTTGTTTAGGACTACTTACTGTTTGGAGTCAATACTTATACAGTATTTAGTTAGTGGCTTTATAATACCTACTATTCATTTTATTTTTGTCTGCAATTTTCTACATGACTGTACTGTGCTTAACAAAACTGTTAATAAGGTCCAACTGGCAGTAAGGTATAATCTTGAAGATCCAATGGGCACTTAAAAAGAGGTCCAATGGGCACATTGAATATAAAATGTTTTAAGAAGGTCCAATGGACACCAAAAAAGAGGTCCAATGGGCACTTTTTGCTTTTGGGTCGAATCTTGAGGGTCCAATGGGTACTAGACCGTTTAAACTACAACTCACGAATGCTTATCGAATATATAGGAAAAAAGAAGGTAAAAGGGGACCCTATTACTAAGACTTCACTGTCCGTCTGTCTGTCACCAGGCTCTATCTTGTAAACCGTGATAGCTATACAGGTGAAATTTGCACATATAATGTATTTCTTTTGCAACACAAATACTTAAATATATAAAAAATTAAACACTAATAACAACAAATACTTAAAAACAGAATTAAATAAATATTTAAGGGGCTCCCATACAACAAACTTTATTCGTTTTTTGCTCTATGTTAAGAACGGCGACAGTTAGACGCTTGATATATTCGCAGAATATTGAGATGTATATTCACTAAAAAGTCATTAAATTAATATTTTAAAAAATATTTAAGGGGCCTCCCATACAACAGACTTGAGTTTTAGACGTTCTTCGTCCGATTTTATACGTAACCCTTATTGCGCGAGTCCCACTAGCACTTGGCCGGTTTTTTTATCCTAGCATATGTATGACACATTGTATATAGCTCGTTGAGTAGGACATAAATATACATACTTTTAGTATTTTTTATTTTCAATAACAAAGAAATAAATGTGCCGTCATAGCTGTCATTTTTAGACCATTTTTGTTACGGGGTCTATCTCAAAATCTTAACTAGTTAAAAATGTGAAAGTTTGGTATATGATGTCCTATATGCTGTGTTAAATAACAACAACAAATCAATAATGTACTTTGTAAGTTGTGTGTTACTAAAACAAACAAAAATGATTTTATTCTATCGAGGTTTGTTGCGATCTCCCATACAACAGACGTAATTTTATCGCCGTTCTTTGCTCGATATTATAATTACCTAGTGGACAGAACCCGTGCGCTAGTCCGACTCGCACTTATCCGTTTTTTTACTGTTGGTGGATTCAATGTTATCTAAAACAAAACAGTATTAGTACATTACCAACCAGGACGTTGGCTATGGTAAAAAGACTGGCCAAGTCCTTGTCGGTGTACGAGCAATATATGGTTCCCTAGTTGCCCATCACCAAGTGTAAATAGCATACGTATACACCCCGACAAACTTCTTGAGCATCAACCATGGACAGCTGAGCCTTTGAGGCAGCAATTTAACATAAAAAAGTCTACTGCACAAGTTTGGCTGTGGTTTTGCTGAAAATTTCCGCTACCTATCGCTTTTGAATAGCATCTGGCCGCTCACGCTTATGAACACAGGTTTCGTCGTGGTCGTACTCCAATGCTGTATTTCACCGTTAAATATTATCATTATATTTATCCTACTTATATTATAAATGTGAAAGTTTGTATGTTTGTTACTAAATCACGCAAAAACTACTAGACGGATTTGGATGAAATTTGGTACGCATATAGTTCATAACCTGGATTAAGCCAATGACAGGTTCCTGTGGGAATCTGAAAAAACTAAAGATAAAGCGGTTGAAATGGCGGGCCGCCGCTAGTTAATTATATTATTGTTAAGGAGGATGTATTAATTATATTCTTGTATATTATTATGATATATTTATTTAATATGATTATGGGTATCCGTTTTACTCAAACGATTTAACGTGATATGATTGTATATACCTTAGCATGTTATATCTGTTCACTTAGATATTAAATTAAATATTTTAATTTCAGGATAAAGAAAAACAGCTTGACATTGGCACACCTGAAAACGAGAAAGATGCTACCACAGAGAAGGAAGAAAAGCAAGAAGATAGCGAACAGAAGGAAATCATAACCAACGGCGACAACAGCGAACAAAAAACTGAAAACGACGAGTCAGCTCCAACTCCAGAGGAATCAAAGAAACCGAAAAAAGAAAAGGTATCCACAAATTCTTCCTGGATTGATTAATTGAGTAAACTTAAATTCTTTTTTTCTGTGCTTTGAGAACGGTTCTGTTTGAATTTGACTGAGCAATGACAATAAAAGTTAAACACGACTTACGATTTGTTTGATTAATCTTATTAAGATTCAACAACATCTTCAGTAAATTTAATGTTAATATAATAATCTTTCTTTCTCTTTAAAGTAGTTTTGAAATAACATATAGTTGCATGTGTGTGCGCTATTTGATGTGTATTATTAACACAGCATGTCACGTAAACAGGTAAAGAAGAAATGGTCGCTTAGGTCAATCAGCTTCAGCAGAAAAGACAAACCAAAACAGGAGAAGAAACAAAAAGAAGAGGAACCCAAGCTGAATGGAGATACCGAAAAAGTACCAGAAGAGGTATGTAATTTTATTGTTTTTATTTTTCTGGAGCCTTCATTGCAAAAAAGAAATATCCTTACCTATATATAGCTCGACTGATTGGTGTTGCAAAGTAATAGATCACTCAAGGTTTTTCCAACCCCTAATGGTATGTTATATACATACTACAATATTTTGCTAATATTATTGATGTGGTTATTATTTTTTGGAATTGTTATCCCTGTTAAAATAACTAACCCCTTTAGGTTTTTTAGCACGAATTCTCTTCCAAAGTTTTGTCTACAATAAATCAATCGCACACGTCTATCTTAGAATATTGACTATAATAGATTCACGAGTAATATCTAATACGGTACTTTCTAAAATGTATTCGTTTTTTGTACGTATGGTATGGATTGAATCGCGTTGGCTATACATTTTTTTTTATTTGACAAAGAACCCATCAATCATTAAAATAAAGTGACCCACTTTCCCACATTTCGCCGAGCGTTGTGTGTACTAAAGTCACGATGATGGGGAGGATATCGTAACCATATGGTGTATAAAAATTAAGTACAAATTATTTTTGTTCACAAACAGTCATCGCCCTTCGTCAGGCGAAAATCTGTAGCGATGTGAAATCATGCACACGTGTTGTTGAAACTGGTACAAAATCGCTTGGCCCTGTACCGTTCATTTCAACCGACATCACTTTTCATGGTGATTACAAATAATATAAGCACGTACTAATAATACTAATTAATATTATATTAACTAACACAGGCCAAGTGAAGAAAGGAGTTATAATGGTTTTTCTTATATTAATGTAGTTTTTAAAACTTAATGTTCATTAGTTCAATCAATACGACCTTGTGTTTCGAGTTCGACGAAGTAGAAACTACGATTTCTATGACAAGTAACTATTGCGTGGTAGTGCATTGCACCCAAACCGGCGCGGGCGCGATGAACAATGCGCATTATAATTCAAAGTGGTGCTATATCCGCGCTAACCAAACGTGAGCCACCATTGTTGGGGCGATATCGCGACACTTGCTTCATTGAGGACGAGCTACGGACGGCCGCGTGACGCCATTCAATATATATTCTACTACTCAATTCGATGTTAATAACTTCCAATTTGGTTGTTACAATGTAGGTATATTACCTACGATTACATGAAATGAATATTAATTTTTGGAAGTAATTTTAGATAAGTATGGATTTTTGCCATGCTTGGATGTTATCAAAACCGGCTGCTAACACTGTAATTATTGTAGTCGATTATCTGGCAAAGCTGTCTCTTTAGTTGACCTCTTAGTCCATCCAGCCAATGCTAAATGTTTTGAGGTTGTATTTGTTGTTTATATGATAAGTATTGAAATTCTCACAACTATGAAAGTTGTTAAATCAGTAATTGGTATAATACCCTAAAGTATAATTCATTTGCTTTACGTTCATTAGCTTCTAATGGTACGAACTAATGGACCATCAATTATCATAGTTACCCATAATGAACAGAAAACTCACAACATCATTGTCAAGATATCAGTTTTATTTTTTATTTAAATGCTCCATCCAATATATTAAAAACTAAAAGGGACCTTGCTATTATAAAGAAGGACATTAAATCATTAAACCAAGCTAAGCTTGAAGTGACGCTCTATTACGATCAGGGTGATTCCTCGTTGGGAGGAATCCATCTTAACGAACAATTTATATTTGGTTAATATCGATCCCAAAACTCGTATCCATTTCGCAGCCAGCCAGTCTGTTTGTTTGTCTCTGCGCCTGCGCAGCCAAACCACCGCATGTTGAGCTCGGTCATTAGCACTATGCCTCCCACAAAGAATATTTTTGTTTACAAAATATTGATATTGCATTTTTTGCTATTATACAATTTTTTTATGCAATAAAATTAGGAAAAAAATAATTTTGATTGAATTTTTAATAAGACCGCGTTGTTTCATCCATAGTTAAATATTTTAAATCCTTAGTTTAGTTAAATCCAAAAAAAAAGAATTGTCAAAATTTGACATATTTATCTTGTATATGGCGTGGTATTAACTATAGTAAAATTTTACTATCGATGAAACAACGCGACTTTATAGTAGGGGAGCCCAAGCGGGGGTATTTGGATTTACTTGAGCGCGACAGATTAATATAAGGTGGGCAACATTGCACCTTGTGAAGTACTCTCACCATACCGGAGCCCTATATGTAGGGCCGAACGTCTAGGCACAGATTACTACAGATAAATCACTCATATACAAAAGTTAAAATGACGACGTCGTATTGACCTATAAGTACATAAAAAAAATCACTGCAAGAAGAATAGTACGTTATTCACCAAGAGAAAAAAGTGACCCATTACCACGAGGGTGGAGTTTGATGTCCGAAGCGCAGCCAAAGGGCCTTAATACACCCAACTTGGGAATAGCACTTTCTTTCGAGGGATACATAGTGTTTTATACTATACCTGCGAGGAAATAAAAGACATTTTCTGTAAAAAAATAACAGCACGTTAATGAATTTCGGTCGACTTTTCCAGCCTGCTTGGTAGTACAACATTACAGTAATGAGGTCCTTACTGCTTTATTTTTAAAACAAGAATAAAGCACTTTCCGGGCAGAGGGCCAGTCGCCTAACGGGATTGCTATGGTTATCGCCATCTCTTACGATTTCATTTTGTTATTTCTGGGCAGTGTTGCCAACTCCTAGAAGTCCGAGTCGCTAGACTCATCATCAAAAGTCGCTAGAAAGTCGCTAAAACTAATTCGACCAGAAGCGGACGCAGGATTTTGTATGGGAGAGGCAGAAGATGCCACCGGCATGCTGTGTGAAAGGTTGGGATATGTGAAAAAAATTAAAAGTAGTTACATAAGGATTTTTTTATCGAGTAATTAGGTTATAATTCAAAAACACATCGCGAACAACAAAGGTACATATAAAAATATAACTTTTAATTTAATTATGTAATCATTGTAACAATCACATAAATTAAAAATACTTAGAAACGTGCATTTTTTGCACAAACTAATAATAAAGTTTGAATTTGGTGCGTTTGTTTTCCATAATGTATATCATGGCACTGTATCGAGTTGATTACTGCAAAAGTCGCTACATAAGTCGCTAAACATTTTTTGTCGTCAAACCTTTTTTTTAATCGCTAAGATTTAAGCACAAGTCGTCAATTCTAGCGACAAAGTCGCTAAATTGGCAACACTGTTTCTGGCCGTCTGAGATTTTCAAGTCGAGGGTTTACGAGTTTGTAATAACAATCCCCTCGAATGTCATACAACGTTTTTCAACACATTTGTAAAAAAAACATTATACGTAATTTAAGTAATGAAGCAAATTTTTTCTAGTAAGAAAATGGCGTGCAATTGCAAAGGGAGCCACGTGCGGTGTTGAAAATTAGAACTACATCTTTCGTCTCTTCTTCTTTTTAGTATTAAAGTGAGACATAGGTATATAGATTAATAACGCTTCCGAGGAGTTTCGCGCGCTTCGCTGCATGGCCCGTAATTTCGAATAATGTATACAACCTTCATATATGCATATTTTTGAACAAATGTGTTGAAAATGTATACTTTGTGAACACGCGTCCTAGAATCGAGATTCCCCCACACACACACCACGTGATTGCGTCATTGAGCGAAGATGTTAGTTAGGGTTAAACAAAATTAAACTAAACTAGCAAACCTGTGAACCAAATGTTCACCAAAAAAAAAAAAAGGTATTTAATTAATTGAGAACTTCGGAGATTTTGTGTGGTTTCATTTGAAATAGAAATCACGTGATTTCTCGAAAACCGGAAGTGCTACGTTACTCACATCCGGTTTGTAGTCTTATCAGACTATTCTTAACTTATAACTTAAACATTCTCTATATCTATCTCTTACGGTTTGGCCGCTGAAACAGCACCACGGACGGACTTGTCTAATAGATAAGAGATTGCTGAAGTTAACATTATACTGTGTTAAGTATATATATATAAGCAATTAAGTTAATGTGAGGAGAGCCGCTGACTTAAATGTGACTTAGTTTTATTAAGTGGCCGATCTTTTTTTCCTATCTTTGAATGATATTTATTACATTTTACGGCGCATGTTTCAAAAAAAAAGAACCCTTAGTACGGCGTAAATACTTCTTGGAAATACATTAACTTTTAATAGTAACAAAACTTAATACTAAGATAAAAACACTAAATTTTTAAGATGTGTAAGTATTTGCTTTAATAATATTATTTTAAGTTCTCCCGAGTTTCGCCCATTCCTAAGTAAATATTATTTAAATACGTAAGTTTGCGCGGGAAACGTGTCGTACGCGCATTGTCTCACATGTGGTGTCCCACTGCCACTCGGACCTACGTAGGTCTACTTAGCGATTGGGGCCTGTCTAGGGCAGCAAAAAATTTTTTTCAACAAACAGCCATGAATTTTTGTCACGTCCAAATCGTCAGTCTTTTCAATAGAAACTACTGGAGGGTCTCACGTAACGTTCCTTATGATGGAAAAAATATTAATCTGCCGGTTTGCATGGTGTGGAGGAGGCCGTACGAAGGGGGTAGAATATAGGAAAAAAAAAGCGCGTCAGACATTGAGAAGGGATATTACGTGAACCCTCCAGTAGCTCCTATTCAAAAGACTGACGATTTGAACGCGACCAAAAGCCATGAGGCTATTTGTTGAAATTTTTATTTTACTGCCATAGACGTTCGACCTACATAGATGGCTCAGGTATGGTGGGAGAACTTCTCAAGGTGCTATGTTGCCCTCCTTATGTTATTCTGACGCGCTCGAGTTAATTCCCAAATCCCCGCTTCGGTTCCCTTACTATAGTATTGTCTGACTTACCGCCTTCTTCCAAAACACGAACTAAAGTTAGTCTTGGATTTAACCTGTCTTCTTTTTAGCAAATAAAAGTGACAGCATCAGTTTGGTCTAGATTTCACTTTAGTCTACGTTTTGTAATAAGTCTGTCAGTGTTTACTGTGTTAGGGTGCTTACATAAAGAAACAGGTTTCCGGTACAGACAAA